CCTGGAGAAAAGGGATGCAGCTTAGGCCTTAGAGCCCCTCTCAGTGCCTCAAGGGGCTTGCAAAAAAGAGGCTGAGGGACTTTTTACATGGACAGACAGTGATGGGATGAAGGGAGATGGTTTTAAACTAAGAGATGAGAGATTTAGGTGGGATATTGGGGAGGAATTCTTCCCTGTGAGGGTGGTGAGGCACTGGCACAGGTTGCCCAGAGCAGCTGTGGCTGCTCCATCCCTGGAAGTGTTCCAGGCCGGTTTAGACAGGGCTTGGAGCAATCTAGGCTAGTGGAAGGTGTTCCTGTCCATGGCAGGGGGTGGAACAGGAGCTCTAAGGTCCCTGCAGCCCAACCATTCCAGGATTCCATGATTCCAGGCGCACACCACCCGCTCCAGCCAGCGCTGCTTGGCCTTTGTGGACGACGTGCGATGCTCCAACCAGTCGCTGCCAATGACACGGCACTGCCTCACTCGTATCCTTTGATCCCTGCCCTTTGCCAGCTGTTTGCCCTATCTCTGCCCCTCCCTCCTCCCTCCCTGGCCCTAAATCAAGGCCATCGGTTTGTCGTAGCCGCTGGTTTCAAGCAGGAGCCCAAAGGAAACTTCTCCCAGTCTGTTGGCTCTCCTGTCCGCGTGGAACAGCCAATTCGTGTGGGAGGGACACAGCCCAGGGCTGGGCCCACCACAGCCTCCAGAGCATCCAGACAGGGGGGGCAGCTCACTGGGAGGCACCAAGGGAAGGGAGGGAGGCAGGAGCTGGGAGGGATGTGCGTGGGAAGAGCTGTCTGACCGCTGGAGCATGTCCTCAGGGATGAGGGGACAGTTCCCAGCCTGCTTGGAGCTGCCATGGCCCAGCTTGGCCTCTGTGACCCCTTCAGTGGTTCTTGTGTGTGTGTTTGAACAGCCTCAGGCTGTTCAACTCCCAGAACTGCCTCAGCTCTGTGAGAGCTCTGAAACTTGCACTGGGATCCCCCAGCTGAGGGATCACCCCCCAGTATGGGATCCACAGCCCCAGCATTGCCCTGGGTGCATCTGCTCCATCTGCTTCTGTCTGTGTAGGAGTGTGTGGATGTGTCCAGGTTTGGATGGGGTCAGGGCTGCAGGAGCAGCTGCTGTGAGGCAGGACAAGCTCCAGCACTGGGTCCCAGAATGGAGCTGGGACCTGGGGACGGATGAGTTCTGAGGTCTGTGGGAGTTGTCAGGTTTGTAGGAGCTCTTGGGTTTTTGGGAGCTCTCAGGTCTGCGGGAGCTCCTGGATTTCCTTTGTCCCCAGAGCTGGCACTCTCCCGCAGGGAGCAGGAGCTGAGGCCTTTGTTTCTCTCCAACCACCACATATCTCAAAATAAACAGGATAAATCCCGGCAGAACAGTGGGAGAAGCTGCTGTTGGCAGCTGGTGCTGGGAGGGCAGAGCTGGGGCTGACGAAGCTCTCAGCTGACTCTGACACAAACAAGCTGTTCCTGGGGCCATTCCTGCCCAGCTGATAACATCTGCATCAGAGCTGATAACATCTGCACCGGAGCCTCTACCAGGAGGCTCTTGGGCTGTGTTTGCTCTCCGGAGTTGGATTGTTTGTGACAGGGCACTGAGGGGACAGGGAGGGGGGCTGGGAAGGCTCCAGGTGGAGCCTGGGATTGCTGTCACCTTGGCAAGCTGTGCCTTTGGCACCGATGGAGTTGGCGTTGGAGCTTGGGAGTCTCCCGGGGGATGCAGATGTGCTTCCCCCTCCCTGTCCCTCCTCACATCTGCCCTGGAGTGTCATCCCTGCTGGGCTGAGCTCCCAGCGCTGCTGCCAGCCTGGATTACAGCTCCCCATGGCCTGCTGGGAAGTGGATCCAGGGGAAATCCTGGGAGCAGGGAGGGGAGGAGGGAAGGATGAGTCTCAGTTCTAGACAGCTTAGGAAACTGGGTTAAGCTTGGAGCCTTTTCCCAGGTTATGTGGGTTTGGAATTGTTTCCTTGTCCCACAGTGTGGTGTGTGTGGGAACCCCCAGACCTGGAGAGCAGCTGGAATGTTACTGGGTGGAATAGGAGGAAAGGATTGGGAGAGGAGGATGGGGAAAGGAAGAGGAGGAAAGGGTTGGGAAAAGGGGATGGGAAGTGGGAAAAGAGGTTGGAAGAAGAGGAAGGAATTGAAAGAGGAGGAAGAGATCAAAGGAGGAGGGAAGGGTGATGGAGTAGGAAGGGGTCAGAAGAGGAAAAGAGTTGGAGGAGGAAGGGTTTGGAAGAGGGTGGGATCAGAAACATAGGATTTGATCCGGAGCTCCTTTGTGGTGCTGGATTGCTCCATCAGTGTGATGCAATTGGAGCAGTTTCTGTTTGTGATTAAAGGCAGGAAATCCCATTTACACCTCTGGCAGGAACAGGTTTCCCATTGGGAAGGAAAATACACTGGGAAGACAGAAATGCCGGAACTAAACTCCTGGCTGTGGAAAAGGCATTGTGTGTGCTGGGATCTCCCTGTGGGCTGGAGCTGATCCTTCTCCATGGATGTCTGCAGACAAAAGTTAATCCTGTGCCTTTGAGACATCCATCCTGAGTGGTTTGGGTCCAGCCACATCTCCCAACCCCCACTGGCAGACTGGGGCTGTTGTCCCAGTTTTCCATCATGGAAATCCCCAATCACTGGGCAGTCAGGATGCAGCTCTGGGTCTGGATTGCAGATCTGGGTGAAATGGGGGTTTAACACCGTTTGCTGGGGGCTGAGGGGGTGGGGATTGACAGTGTTTATCCCTCTGGATACATGTCTGGCTGTACCTGTACCCCTTTCCTTGACCAGCTTTTCCTAGACATCTGCCAGGACACGAACCAGACGCTGTTCAAGCTGTGCCAGGGCTCTGAGGAGGTTCCCTGCACCAAGCCCGTGCCCGTGAGCCTGTCGGAGGAGCCCTGCTGCCCCTTGCACCTGCGCCTGCCCCCCCAGATGTATGTCCCTGAGCAGGGCCTGGAGGTTCCCCAGGAGCTGGGAGCAGCCCCCTCAGACCTGTACCTGAGTGCAGCTGAGCTCCAGCCCACGGAGAGTTTGCCCCTGGAATTCAGTGATGTAAGTGGGATTTAGGCTGTGGCTGATGTGTCTCTGCCCTCCTGAGAGCCCACCTGGAATACAGCATCCAGCTCTGGGGTCCTTGGCACAGGGAGGATGTGGAGCCGCTGGAGTGAGGCCAGAGGAGGCTACGGAGATGCTCCAAGGGTTGGAGCAGCTCTGCCGTGGAGTCAGGCTGGGAGAGCTGGGGGGATCACCTGGAGAAGGGAAGGCTCCAGGGACACCTTAGAGCCCCTTCCAGTGACTGAAGGGACTCCAGGAGAACTGTAGAGAGACTTTGGACAAGGGCCTGGAGGGACAGGACACAGGGAATGGCTTCCCACTGCCAGAGGGCAGATTAGATTAGATACTGGGAAGGAATTCCTCCCTGTGAGGGTGGTGAGGCACTGGCACAGGGTGCCCAGAGCAGCTGTGGCTGCTCCATCCCTGGGTTTTTTTGGACGGGACGGGGCTTGGAGCAGCCTGGGCTGGGGGAAGGTGTCCCTGCTCATGGCCCTTGCCCGTGGATGAGCTTTAAGGTCCTTCCCAGCCCAAACCATCCTGGGTTTCTGTGCAAGTGCAGGAATGGGGAAGGTCTAGGATCCATGTGTTCTGCTGCCAGGGCTGTGGGCATTTAAATCCCTATTTAGGGGCCTTAAAAAAGGATTTTTCCCTCCATTTTCTCTCCCATGAAGAAAACATGAGGATTTAATCTCCAGATTATTCTGGCATTTAATCCAACATGCCCAAAACCCTTGGAAATGTGTTTAATCAAAGCAAAACTACCACAATCCTTGGGAGCTGTTTCTCCAAGTGAGGTGTCACCTCTGCGCTTGGATGCTCTGGAGATCCCCAAGCACTGCTGTGGAGGCAAACCTCGGATTCAGGCTGGGGTTTGCTGAGGGAGGAGGGAGCAAGGGGTCAGGCTGGGGGCTCAAAGTAGATTCCAACCCCTTCCTGTGCCAACAGGAGAGGCATTTTGGGGGTTAGAAGGGAAAATGGATCTGTTTTCCCCTCCTGTGCTCTGGGAGGGCTCCACTCCCGCGGAGCCGCAGCGGCTGCTTGGGGCATCTGTGTTGTGTCTCACTCCTGTCGTGCCAGGCTGGGGAAGTGCCACCCGTGAGTCACAGCCTTCTCACCCCATGGCAAACTCTCCAGAGTCACAACAAATCCTGTTCTCTCGTGAATCTTCTCTCCCAATCCCATACTCTTCCCGAACCCCAGCCCGTCCCAATCCCAGCCTGTCCCCTCAGCAGAGAGGGCACGTGGAGGAGTTCTTGGAGCTCACCACCTCATGGGTGGTGTCACGGTAGTTGGAGGATGTGTGAAACCAGGAGAAGGGACACAGGATCAGAGCCTGTCACAGCCCTCCCAGGTGCTGCAGGCACACTTTGGAGACAACATGCCATTCTGGGCTCCAGCCCCTGTGCCCCACA